TAACGGGATTCCTGTTTTTTCCACCTCCATCCTTCCTGGCCCTTCAGACTCTGGCTGTCGGAGAGGAGAACGCACCCACACGTTCGCCCGCCCCGGTGGTGGCCTTGCGTCGCGGGGGTCAGGGCAAGGGCGCGGCGCGTTCCCTGCGGTCGGCTTCCGCTGTCTCACCCCGCCTAGGACCACACACACGAAGAACAAGCCTGCTCCCCCGGAGGACCCAGTGTAGAAGGGATGCGGACAGCGCCCCTCCGCATTGACAACAGTCTCCACCCCGCCCCACCCCGGGAGCTTCCCACAGGCAAGTGTCCGCGCGCAGAGGCAGCTCGCGGCCGGAGGAGGGCGGCTGCCGCAAGCCACAGACCGTCCCCAGGCAGAACTGAGCTGCCGTGCGAGCTGTGCACAGGCCGTGCTGGAGCCGTTCCCACAGATTCTGAGTGAGGGGCGCCTCCTAGGCTCCTGCTGTGGGAATCCCAGGGAGCGTCCACTCTCCATGTGCCCCCTCCCCCGCCCCGTCGCATATACCAATTTCCAGAGAAAAGAAGTCTTTACAAAATGAACAGACCGGAGCTTGCCGGAATACCTCTTAAAAGTTTTTGAGATGAATTCAATTGTCATGGGTTGAAACGCACGCCTAGGTGCCTGTTTGCCCACTACGCTCACGCTGCGGTTCCCTCCGACGTCTTTCTCCTTCCGCTCCAGGGCAGATGCTGCGTGGGGCCTGATGTATTCCGTCAGGCGCGGGCGCTGGGCTGGGGCGGGCGCCTCGGCGCCCTTGGCCTCACGGTCTGAGAATAGGAACGAGAGCAAATGCGAAAGCGAACCACAGCTCTGATTTATCTTAGTCTCGTTACTTTGTTTCTTTCAGGCCCTGGACACAGGGGACAGCTCTGGGCAAAGGCTGTTTATTGGCTGTGCGGGCTGAAGTTGCTGAGCAAAACATCCCATTTCAGGGATGACCGAGCCGCCAGGACCGGTCGCACGGACGGCGGGCCTGCGCCTTCGCATCTGCAAGTTCCCGCCGTGACTTTCCATCTCACTGTCAGCACGCGGATACGGCGGAAAATTAAGGTCTCTGGAAACCCTCCCAACGTCCCCGCCCCCCGCCCCCCCACCCTGTCGCCTTGCTCGCCGTTGGCTGTGCCGCAGGCCCGGTGTTGGGCGCTCGCTGCGGGAGAGGACAGGGGGCCAGCAAGTCCCAGCCACGCGCTCCTTGTGGGAAAGTCCCGCAACTTCACTGAGCCGCGGTATCTTCTTTTACAAAACAGGAATGACACTCAAACTCTTGTCCCTGGGTGGCTGACGACTGGGATGAGTTAAGGATAAAGGACTCAGAACAGCACCCGACTCCTCGTCACTGCAGCGCCGCAAAAATGAGCTGGCGTCCTTCCTGCTGCGAAGCGCTTTGCGGACCAGCTGTGAGCGCGAAGGTTGCTTCTCAGGCACAGGGACGGGGGTTGGGGGGGAATCGCGCCGTGTCTGTGCGGAGAGGAGCAGGCAGGAAGCGTTGAGTTCTGCTCTGGATGACAAGCTCAGGCTTTTAAAGAGCCATAAAAATGCCATCCCACTGACAAAGTTCTGGCACAAGAGAGGAACGCCCCTTGGCTGTCCGGGAAATGTGGCGTCTCCGCCCTGCCCATATCTCTCTCTGGCTTGCTTCTGGGCAAAGGTCCCCTCTGGGCATGATCCTACTGCATCCAGACCTTTGCCACCATCGTCCCCATACTGAGCCTCTGACCGGCTCTGACTGGCTGAGACGTGTTCACAGGGGCAGCTATGGATCCTGTCTCTTGTCACAACATGTGGCGCCAGCTCGGAGAGGCCAGGACAGGCTGGGCTGGCCACTGGTGTGGCTGCTTCTGACCTTTGTAAGGAAGAGTCAAGAGCCAGATTCTCGGTCAGAAAGGAAAACTGCAGAACTTCAAGGTGGAATGAGATTCTTCTCCGCACTCATTTCCCCATATGTTAGACCCTCTCACCCTACACTAGCGAAATATTCTTGTGCTTTAAAGAGTTCGGTGGGTTGCTAGATGGTCTCTTCTGATCCTGACAGTCACCCTGTGTCTTCGGGTGAGAAAACTGAGGCTCGGAGGAGTTGGGTGGCTTTCCAGAGGCCACCTGGCTTAATGACCAAAGGAAACAGAATTCTAACTCATGTAGCTCAACCTCCAGCCCAGCGCGCTTTCTGCTACGAAAACGCCAACACGTCGTCGCGTGCTCCAAGCAGGCAGAGTAAATCCTCGGCCTCAGGTGACAGCGACAGGCGGGTGCACCAAGCACCCGGCCGATGGGAGGACCCACGCCACGCCGCGGGTGACGAGATGGCTCCTTTGGGGGCATCACAGTGCTAAAGGTTAAGTGGTGACACCCAGACCACTATGAAGCCCTGCATCGTCAAAAATTGGGTGAAACAGAAATAGAACGCAATCGTATTTTCAGCTCTCCACCCACCCCTTAAATAGCTTGACCTCATTTTGGCCGCTGTGGCGCCGCTAAACGGCAAACGCCTTTCCGGCGGGTCTGCGGCTTCTAAGGTTGTGCTGCCCCCTCCTGGGAAAAGTGGGAACAGCAAGCCTTTCTTGTTCCCGGGGAACGAAGGGGTCTCTTCCCCGCGCAGCGTCGGAGGCCGGGCTCCTGGAGGTGGAGGCCCCCAGCCCGCCCAGGTCTGCTGCTTCGGCGGCTTTCCTGACCTTTCGGGGAGGACTCGTTAACACAGTTCTGAGAAACAGATTTTTTTCCATCCAATAATTATGTTATTACTAACGTTCTCCATCCTCTGCGGCCTGTCAGTGGCGCAGACATCCAAACCTGCAAGAATGTTCATGAGCGTATTGGAGTCACGCTGACCACAGTTGCCAGCAAGTGACACCGCAGGAGCGAGAACGGGATCCGGAAAAAGGCAGCCTTGTGCCTTATTTTATACATTGCAACCAAAAGAGGAGGCGTAAGGGTCTACACAGAATCCTTTGGTGACAAGAGTAGGGAGGGGAAGAAAGCAAAGTGGGGAAGTCTCTTGGATTGCAAGAAACATTAAAATGATAGATGCGCTCCTTTTACACAGGTGGGCACATGGGAAAGTCAGCAGTGACTATTCACACGATGACAGTAACAATGGGGGGGTTCGTGGTCTCCCTCGGCTCTGCGTGGGCTTCGAGGGGTCTGGAAAAAGGGAATTAGCCCGACAGTCCAAAGGGGTGTTGTCGCAGATGCAGAGACAACAGACAGGCTGTTAAGGCAAAGGTTCACTTTCATCAGGGGAGAGTGCAGCCCAGGACAGACTGCCCGCCGGGAACTGCGGTTGGTGGAGGTTTTAATCTCAGACCATCCTGTGTGGTCACTTCAGGTGTGAGTGTGCGAGGCCGCCCTGTAGGCCTCCCCGAGCTTGTCGGGGTTAGTATGTGGTGGCCACACTCCATCCACGTGTCAAATCTGAGGCAGAGCTGATAAAACGCATTGGCAGCCTCGGCCTCAGATGGACCCCTACTTTCTGGGACTCCCTGCTGCCTCCGGAGTTGGCCGGGGGAGGGAGAGGGACGGACGGCAAAGCTTCTCGCAAACGACCCTGAAAATGTGCCGGTCCCAAGGACAGCGTTCCAAGTGGAACGGTGAGGCCCCAGACAGGCTAGTCCCCAGCATGACCGCCACGTTTCCTCCCTGCTCTGCCCCCAGCCCTGGGTTTACTGTTAGGAAACTAACTTGAACGGTAGCAACCAACCCCACACCCCACTGAGGTCCCTCCCAGTCTCTCTTCTCTATTCTGCTGATTTATCCTCGGCCTTTATCCTCATCTGACCTACAACTGTATTTCATTTGTTTGTTCCTGATTTAGTTTCCTTCCCCTGTGATGTCAGCTCTACGAGGGCGAACATTTTTGGCTCTCCTGCTCCCTGGAGGACCCTCTGCTCTGAGAACAGGGCCCGGTGCCTGGCAGGTGCGGGAAAAGGACGTGTGCGATCAGCGACACCCTAACTCCATGCTCTCACTGGTCACGGGGTGCGGGCTTCCCTCTCCTTACGGTCTGATGTGTTTGATGTTTCTGCCTCTGCTGTTCAGGAGGACCTTCTGCTAGTTACTCAAGTCCCAGCCCAAGGGCGCGTCTAAGCTTGGTGACGAGGGAGGGGCTGTGTGAGGTGAGCAGGCCTGGCCTGGCTGCTCTAGAGGAGCAGGTGCGGAAGGTAGGGAACTGGGGAGAAATTAGAGCCCAGAGGGCTCGTTATACGGTTGGGGGCGCCGCAAAGCGAAGCCCAGAGTGTAAATAAATGCGACGTACGCACTTGTGTAAAATTATTTAGTAACTGTCACTATAGCTATCGTTCGTTGAGCGCCTGCTCTGGAACTTCAATGTGAACTGCACCGCACGCCGCCTCGGAAGCTCAGGCGACCTGCTCTGGGTTGACCCCGGGCCCGAGCAGGGCGCAGAGTCGCGCTTAAATGTGCGTCTGTGCGCCACCAGAGCCCCGCACGGATGTCAGTTTAGTCACCAGCTGTGGCTTAGATGAGCTCCAGTTCCATCTGCCGTGAAGGGGGACGGACGGAGGCTGTTCCGAGGAAGAGCTAAAGGAGACGCACGCCGAGCGCGCCTGCGGCTCGCTGAGCCCCGGGGAGCCAGTGCCCCTCCCGGTCGGCCCTCATCGCGGCCCCCGCGGGTGCTCGGAAGCGAGCGTACAGCTCCGTCCCCGTCCTTCTGTCTGGCCTCGGCGGGCCTGCTCTCAGCACTTGCCCTGCCTTGGGCCAGTTTGTGCCCTCCCGGGACGAGCGCCCGTTTCTGCGACGCGCGGCATGCTGGGGGTTGTAGTTGCAGCCGGACCCGCCCACCTGCACCCAAAGGCTACGGAGTGGGGGGTGGAGAGCCTGAGAACTACAACTCCCAGAGTCCCGCGCGCCGCCGGAAGCGTGCCGTGTGATTTGGTTAGCTGTCGTTTCCAGCTTGGGTGCGCGGCTCTGTCCGTGGGCGGGGACGCGGGCCCGCCTTCTCCGGGGCCAAAGTGCTTCCGTACGGGCTGCGGGGCTGGAGAAAGTAGGCCAGGCGCGCCGCGTCCCGCACGCTGGGGTGCCCGGCTCTGGTCTCGGATGCCGCCCAGCCCTTTGCCCGGTCCGGCGCTCAGGCCCACGGACAGGGGACGGGGCCTGGGGGACCTCCCGCTGCTCCCAGGCCGAGTTTGGCCGCCCTGGAGCCAAGCGGAGGCGGCCGCTTGGACGTCTGCAGACGGGCCCCGAGTCGGGCTGCGATGAAGGGAGGCCCACCGACCCCCGCAGCTCCGCCGGGGAGCGCCGGGGGTGCCCTGTCTCTCGCGGCGGCCGCGGCTCTGCTGGAGGAGGCGGCCGACCTCCTGGTAGTGCACCTGGACTTCCCGGCGGCGCTGCGCACCTGCGAGCGGGCGGCGCGGAGCCTGGGCGCCGGCGGCCTGGCGGGCGAGCCTGAGGGCGCGTACGTGCCGGGCTCGCTGGGGTGGGCCGGGGATCGAGGGGGGCCCCAGGGGACTGGGTTAAAGGGTCAGCCTGGAAGCCCTGGCAGTGGGTTCAAGCGTCGTCCCGATGCACCAAGGTTGCGGGTTCCATCCCAGGCCAGGGCTCATGCGAAAAACAACCACTGAGTGCATCAGTGAGTGAAACGACAAATCGATACTTCTCTCTCTCTTTAAAATATACATATAGTCAACCTGGAGAAAACCTTGTCCTCTGCGGCCTTTTATGATGAGCTGGCCTCCTCTGGGACTTGAGTGCGTGGTTTCTCAGTGGGCGTAGAGCTGGACTCATCACCTGCAGAGCGGACCCAGCACGGGGAGCCCTGGTTGTGATTGAAGGGGTTGCGGGGCTTGTTGCTGTGAACGCTGAAGGTGGGGCTTCTGGGCGCCTGGAGGTACCTCAGAAAGGCCAGGAGTGCAGCCTCTGTTCCCACCCTTGGGCTCCATGCCCGTTTCTCCACCTGGCAAACTGTTGGCTCCAGCTGCCTCCGCGCGCCCTGTGTTTGGACAACAGCTGATTTGCCACTAGGAGGTCTCAGGAATGACCAGTTTCTAGGAGAATGGGCAGTGTTCTGTGTGGGGGCCCCTTGAACACCAAGAGGGGGACGGAGGTGACGGCTGCTAGGCTGGGAGCTGGGGAAGCCGTGGAGGCGGGAAAGTCGGCAGAGGGGAGCCACCTCCCTGCCTGAACCTGCTTTCTGCTGGCAGCTCCTGGGAGGTGAAGTGCTCCCTCTGTGTCGTGGGCATCCAGGCCCTGGCGGAAATGAACCGGTGGCGGGAAGTCCTCGCCTGGGTTCTCCAGTATTACCAGGTTCCCGAGAAGCTGCCGCCCAAAGTGCTGGAGATGTGGTAGGTCCTGCTGCTGACCCCGGGGCTCTTTCCTGAGAGGATTGGGTTCACGTCCTGCGTCACGGCCTGTCTCTCCCCCCTTCCCTACCATTTCCCTCCAAATCTAAGTCTGTCCGTTTCTTCTCCTTTCTCCCTTCCCACCCCAGACCCCAAAACAGCCCTACAGGGTGAGGAAGGGCATTTAGGAGTGGGTTACAGGAAAGAGAGCGAGGACACCGGCGGGGAGGTGGGAGCAGGAGGAGCGGGTGGCGGGGCGCGTGGAGAGAGCTGCTTGCTGCTTCCTAGGGATTCCTGCTCTTCGCTGTCCGCCTCCCACGGGCAGGGCCGGAGGGCGCGGGGGAGCTCAGAGGAGAGCGTGCTGGCACCGAGAGTGGACCTGCTGTGCAGTGCTGACTGTTCCTTTTGGGGGGCTGCAGCCTTCTTTTATACAGCAACATGCAAGACCCTGGGGCTGTGCTGGGAGCGGCCCACGCCTGGCTCCAGGACCCGGACAACCAGGGCCTTCCTGAGTGCCCCGCCGTGGCGGAGCTGCACCTGCGGCGTGTGCTGCTGCCTCTGGGCCGCCTGTCGGAGGCGGAGGAGCTGGCGGGCTCCGCGGCCTTCAGCGGGCAGCAGCGGCTGGACGCCCTGCAGGCCATTTGTGCCGCGAGGCACCAGCAGAGGCACCGCCCCCCGGGCTCTGAGGGGGACCAGGAAGGTAGGGTGTTGGCCTTGTGCAGCGTCTGTCAGGCGCAGGCGCGGGCTGTCCTCCGGGGCTTGGTGACCCCCCAGGGAGCCCAGAGCCATTCTTTGTCCACGTGACTCCCGAGTCACAGGCCAGGGCGCTGCTGAAGAGCCCAGCCCCTGCGGGGGGGCTTGCGGTGGGTTTCAGGACCTGGACGCTTCTCTCCCAGAAGTTGCTCTCCCTGGGGGCCTGCTCACCGTGATACTCGGGCCTGTCGCTCCCTGTAACTATGCACGGCGCTCAGGCCAGAACAGAAGGGACGCAGTGACATGCCAGAGCGGCCAGGGCTCCGGAGCCGAGCAGGTGCAGCCGGTCAGAGTCCTCCCCCAGGGCAGGGCACCCGGGTGGCACAGTCTGTCCTTTAGAAGCACTGTACAAAGCATGTGAGGAAACCATCCTCGCCACCTTCGGTTCAGCTCACAACCAAACTCAGAGTTTGGGTGTAGGGAAGCGGGTCCCCGACTCACCCACGGTGACACCCTGCCTCCCCGCCAGGCACCCCCCACAAGCTTCTGTCACTGATGATGCTGCTTCGCCGGCTTTGGGCCTCTGCCATGAGCCGCTTCGCGTCCCTGCCCTTCAAAAAGAGCCTCCTGGCCACCTTGGTCCTCTGCCTGCTGCTGGTGAGGTTCGACCCAGGTGAGTGTGGGAGCCTGTGTCCCCGCGCACCCTCCCGGAGCGGGTGGCAGACGGGGCAGCCTGTCTGGTCTGTGAGGGGAGTGGCCCGGCCCCCAGGAGGGAATGCAGGGTTCCCGTGAGCAGCCCACCTGCTGACCGTGGATGGGACCCTGAGTCACGGTCGCCTGCACCCGCCTCTCCTTCCTCCCGGGGCGGAGCTGGAACAGAACCTCGGAGCCCAAAGACCTGCCTTATCATAACCTGTTAAGAACTGTGTTAATTTAACATGTAGTAAGTTGTAAATGAAATACATGGGGCTTTTAGAAAATGTGGAGAATAGGGAAGACTATAAAGGAGAAAACAAATCACCTGCAAATCTGTTATTATCAAGGTTATACTCAGCCTTTTTCTATGGATAGAGCTACAGGGGTGGATCTAGGTGGATTCTGCACATCATAAACATTCTTTGAAATGTGGCTTTAAATGGCTGAATAATACTCCGACTCACGGAGATCCCGTCGCTGATGGCGGCACCTCCCCGCAGCCAGGCACCGGCGCTGCCCCGCGCCACTCCCACCGCGGCCGAGGCCCACCTGAGCTCGCAGCCACTCGGGGGCCCCGCCCTGGGGCTCGCGCCCCCGACCCCGGCGGAGGACACTCATTTACTTACACATTTTTCTCCTCCTCTGGGAGTTAGGATCTAATGTCCACTCTTCTCGTGGATGTAGACCCAGGATACAATTATATAACTTTCACAGCTGGAGGAAAACGGAAAACCATTATTCCAGTCCCTTTATTTTCTTTTTTCTTTCCTTTCTGTTTGAGAAATCTGAGGTCCCCAGAGGTAAGTGACTCGCTCAGGGTCACATGAATGATTTAAAAGCACCAGCGCTCGGCCCAGCCTTCCGAGCCCTGTTCCCATTTCCCTCTGTCCGCATCGGAGTCTGCATCTGCGAGCTGTTCTGCCGCGTAGCTCGGGGCGGTCCCTTCCGCCCCTTCCCCGGCTCCCGCTCCGTCTGAGGGGCTGCGTTTGCTGCAGGGAGGGATCCCTGGGAGCCCTCGGGGAAGCGAGGGCAGTTTGTAGTCATTCACACTTACCCTTTGACATCCTGCTTCTCACCAGAGACTTGGTAAAAATTTAGAAAAAATGTATGGTTTTTATAAGCCGGTTAGTCTCATCAGCCCTGGCTCCTCAGTGCAGGTGGCCAGGGGCCGTCGGAGCTGTTGGCAGGGCTGGCGGAGCCCTTCAGACGCCCCCCAGCCATCCTGCATCTTGGCGGGGGGGAGGGGGGCGTGGGAGCCCGGCAGGAAGGATATGCAGAAGGCAGCCTGTTGGTAGCTTTCTTAAAAAAAAAAAAAGTTTCCTTTTTAAGAAAGAAAAAAAATCAGCGAAAAAAATATCAGTCTTTCAAATAATGAAAAACAAACCAACTCAGCTTAATTCCAAAGAGGCAGATTTGACTTGAGTTTATTGCAGTCTAATTAACTCACGATACAAAGAGGTGACACTGTCCCATGGCTGCAAACTGAAGGGACACAGAGGTGAATGTAGTGGAAAGTCTCTCCCCAAATTCATCTCCCGAGAAGCAGCTGCAGTTAGTGGTTTTTTTGTGTATCAAAGAGATGAAAACAGTACATTTGCATCTTTTTCTCAGCAAGTTTCAGGTCACCCTAACCCAGGTGAAGGGGGCATGTCCTAGAGAAGGGGGCGGCTTCGCTCCTGCCAGGGGAGAGGAGCCAGTAGCAGGAAGCATCCAAATCCCCTTTGAAAATCCTGCTTTGCCCCTGAAAGTGGCTGAGTGGGGGGAGGGCAGGCAGGGAGGGTCGCTGGCAGCTGACGGTGGCCCCCCCCGCGCCCCTCCTGCAGCCTCGCCGTCCGCCCGGCCCTTGATCTGCAGGCTGGCTCAGCTCTTCCGCCGGATCCGGGAGGCTCTGCTTTCTCCTCCCCACCAGCCCCGCATCCACGACTAAGTGACCTTCCCTGTGGCCTCTGCTCGTCCGCGGCCCAGCCCCTCTCCTGCTGCTGGCTGGGCCCTGCGGGGGCGGCCAGGCCCCTGCCCGGCACCCGGCTTCGGCTGCGTCCGACGGTCACAAGGAGACAGAGCTGGGCCAGAGGGTCCGCGTCCTGCGGATCAGCCCCCGATGCCCGGGGCCCTTGTGGTTTGGGAATGGAGCGCGTCCATGGGACATTCCTCCTCCAGGTCAGGCATTGATGAAGCTGGAAGTTCAGGAAAGCTGCTTGGAGAACTTAGCTCGGGGAAACTGCCCCCAGGGAGGCCGGTCACTGGGTGGGGACCCACCGAGGGGCGTCTGTGTCTGTGCCCCAGGTCTGGTGCACCCTTCCTGTGGCCTCGCACCTGCTGGGGCCGCGCTGCGTTCAGCCCAGGACCCGGCCCTCAGAGCCCCCGGGGGGGCTGCTGGGGATGCAGTGAGTCTGCTGCGCTCTTCCCGGTGGGCAGGTGACCTCGCGGGGCGCTCCTGGGCTGCGGCACGGCCTTCCCTGCTGCGGCCCTCGGCGTGGCTGCCTGCCCCCCACCCCGCTCCCCAGGAGGGGCCCTGCGTCGCCCCGTGGCTGGGCCTGCCATGGTGGTGCCATGGCCCGTTCCCCCTCTGTGCCCCGCTCTGATTGGAATCTAGTGCCTGTATCAACACACGTTTTTCTGCTTTCGTGGCCTTGGAAAGTGGGCCAGCCTTAGAGGCTGACCAGCCGAAAACAGAACTGGGTGATCAGGAGCTGGGGGACGAGCAGGCAGCTGGGAGGGCAGGGACAGGCCTCGGGAGGCGGCCACGGCTGTGTCCTGGGGGGAGGGGGCACGTGGGGCCTCAGCATTTGCTGTCACTGGCCACAGGCACACTCCCTGTTTCCGTGCAGGTAAAGGCGACGCGCTCCTTGCCCCTAGATCCTGGGGGCCGAAGGTCACCTCCCCTTCTGCGCCCCTGGACCTCCGTCAGTGCCCCTGCCGAGAACGTAGGCGGTGCCTTTAGCTTTCTGCGGTTTGGTTTTCAAGAGCTGCAAGTCAACAACTTCTCTTTAATGAAATGGGTGGAGTAAGTCAACTTCCCCGGCCCTTCAGGTTAAGTGCCTCGGGCTGCACTCCAGCTCTGTAGGAAACACATCCTGCTGGCTTTGGCACAAAACTGCCCCAGGCAGGGAAGGGAGGCCGCGGGGCTTCCAGATGCTCCTTCGCAGTGGCCTCTGAAAATGGAAACCTGGCTCTGTTCACGACTCTGGACCAAACCCTGCGCGGCCCGGGCCCGGGCTGGGCATACACCGCCACGGCCGCGTGGGTCTCTGCGCCTGCGCACCTGTGTCCGCCCCACCCCGTATCTGACCGCTGCAGGCTCCCCACGCCTCTGCTGTCCCCGCGGGACCGTCCGGCCCCCCTTGCTGCCTGGTGAGCCCCTCAGCCTCCTGGGCCTCGTGAGGCTGCCCTGGGGGTCCCTTCTCAGCGTCCCGGCCTGCTTCACGCCCTTTGTGCCGCAGCAACCCCATGGCCTCAAGGTTGTGAGGTTTCTGTCCCTCCGGGACCGGCAGTTGGGGGCATGGCTGCGGCCGTGTTGAGACTCCGCTTTGGGTCCTCGCTCCACCGCGGGCCGGTGGTGTGGCTGCCGGAACCTCGGCCTCAGTGTCCGCCCAGGGGACGAGGCGTGGAGACCGTACTAGTGACGTGTCGAGCCTGCTGTCCCGACCCAAGCAGGCGCTCTCGTGAGGGGTCGCTGTGTCGCCGACGCCCAGCCGCGTGCCCGGGAGGGAGGGGTCCGCAGGTGCCCCCAGGGGTGAACCCGCAGGGCGGGCGGGGGTGGGGCCTGTGCTGCTGCGGGAACCTGGAGTGCGAGGCCCCGCCCCGAGGCGCTGGCAGGACCGCTGGGCCCGCCCTCCCGTGTCTGTCCTGAGCTCTGCCCGCCCGCCTCGCTGGTCAGACTGGAAGCCCAGAGCAGGGCTCCCCAGCGAGTGACTCTCCTCAGGACCAGCCCGCCCCCCGTCAGCCTTCAGCTCTGGGCGTGAGGGGGTCGGAGCGCAGGGAGGGCCCCTCCCGGGACCGCGCGGTGCTGCCGGGCAGCGGCCGGGACGCAGGCGGCTCCGGGGGCGGGACCCGATCGGGACGCTCTTCACACGGACGCTGCGCCTGGGCTTTCGTGGACTTCGTACTAAAGGAGAAGGGAAATTCAATTTTTATACTGACTGCACATTGAAATGATGGTGTTTTGGACACACTGGGTTAAATAAAATCAGTTGAAATTAATCTTAGCTGTTTCTTTTACTTTTTTGTGGGTCAACTGGAATGTTTCCATTCACACAGCTCACCCTGTATTTCCTCAGGCGCTGATGCTGAACACACCGGGCGCACGGCGGGTCCCGAGGGCCAGAAGCGAGGAGAGCGGCAGCGTGGGGTGCCATTGGGCAGGACGGGGGGTCTGGGACGAGGGGCTGGTGCAGCCCCTTCTGGGTACGTGGAGGAAGAAGGGCCCCGAGAAGGGACAGACTTGCCCCACGTCACACAGGCTGGATGAGGCCGAGGACCACGGCCCCCCAGGCTCGCCCCCCCCCGCCCCCCCGTGGGTCTGCCTCGCTCGCCCTGAAGACCGGGCTCCTGTCTGAGACTCGCTGTCCATGGATGTGCAGGTGTAGCTGCGGGGGCGGGGGGGACTTTTGCTGGAGTGAGCGGGTGAGTCCTACGTGGATCTGAGAGAGTACAGCATGGAGCAGACACCGCAGAATTTAGGGGTGCAGAGGGGCGCAGGGATGCGTAACGCCCCTCTGTGTTCAGATGGGAGGCTGGGGCAGCCGGCCCGAGGGGGCGGGGAGCTAGGCTGCGGTGGGCAGTCACGGCGGGAGCGGGAGGCAGTAGGCGGCCCCGGCTGCTCCTGCTAGGGACGGGCGAGAAGGGGCCGGTCGCCCAGAGCTCTGTGCAGGTGACCCCTGTTCTACGTGTGTGCGTAGGGTGTTTAAAGTAGATTTGAGTTTTGTGTGCGTGCGCACACACACACACCACAGGATTCAGAAGTTACAAAAGGGTATTCACAGAAATGCCCCACCGCCTGCCCCCCACAGCCGTCCCCTGAGGTGGCCTCCCACCTGCCCTTGTCTTCCTCTCGCGCGCTTCACACGCGCGGTGACGCTGAAAAGTGATCTTGGCGAGCTCTGCCTTCCCAGCCTGGAGCGGCCCCGTGCTGTGGCCCGCGGGCGCCGGCCCGTGCTCATCGGAGCCTCTGCGCCCTCTTCTCAGCCCAGGCGCTCAGCCGCCCCGAGCCGAAGGTGGCAGGTAACAGCCACGCGTTCCTGCTGCGTCCTGGCAAAGGGCGCAGCCCGGGCAGCCTGCCCGGCAGCTGCCACCGCAGGAGGCAGAGCAGGCCCCTCACACTCTGCGGGTCAGTTTCCTGAGTCTGGAAGGCGGCTGGAAGGGGAAGGCCTGCCAGGAAGCGCAGGCAGGGCCCCTCGCCACCGCCGCACCCGCGGTCCCCTGGGCTGCAGGACCCCCACCACCGGCACCCACGGGAGGGGCTGCTGCAGCCCGCGGCCCTTCCTCCGCCTTCCTGCAGGCCTGCCGAGGCCTTGCCTGCCGCCTGAGTGGAGCTCAGTCCGCACAGCGTTTGCGAGGGGAAGGGGGCCCTGCCCTTCCCCCCTGCGCAGACCTCAGCCTCTCGGGCTGGGAAGAAGCTGAACTGGAGGCGCCTTCGGCAGCCTCTGAAGTCCATCCCCCTGCCGCCCCGGGGGGCGGAGCCGCGCAGGTCGGCTGCTGGGCCCCTGGATGAAACAAGTAATCCTCGTCTTAAAGCAACGCATATGTATTTTAGAAAACACCAAAAATTACATAAAGCACACATGGGACTCTTGATCTTACCCCTCGGTGGTAACCCTGGTCGATCTTCCTTCTGTTTTTTAAACAGTCAAACCTCTTGGTAGCCCAGGTGCCTGAGAAACTGTGAAAAGTAGCCGTTTGCAGACATACTGCTTGTGCAGGACGGGAGGTGGCTGGCCCCACGAGGGGGGGCGACTGCAGAACAGGGGCTGGGACCACGCAGGCTGAGCAGCGGAAGAGCTGGGGCGTCTGAGTGCCAGGGAGCCCGCGGCGCCCCGCCCCCCCCCAACCACCAGGGCCGGTCTCGACAGCGGGATTTGGCCCACTTCCAATGCTAATCCTGACCCGGGCTCAACCCCCTTCCCAGCTCCTCGTTTTCAAGAGCCTCTTCGAAGCTTCCCATGTCCTGTCACTTTCGTACCATCTAGGTGGGGACCAGGAGCCTAAGATGTACTCGGAGACTTTAAGATAATGTTCGGAGACTTGATTGAGAAACAAAGGGATTTTTGCGGAAGCCTGTGAGTGTAGAAAAAAGGCACTTTAACAATAACATCTGGCGAGGCCGTGGAGAAAAGGGGCCCCTCGTGTACCCCTGCAAACTGACACAGCCACTGTGGAAACAGTACAGAGGCTCCTCAGAAAACTGAAAATATATCTACCTTGTGACCCGCAATCCCACTTCTGCGTATTTATCCAAAAAATTTGAAAACACTAACTTGAAAATATATATGCACCCTTATGTTCACTGCAACAGGAAAAATATGGAAGTAACCTAAGTAATAAACACATGGGTAAAGCACAAATGGTGCATATATACAATGGAGTGTTATTCCTCAAAAAAGTGGAATGAAATCTTCCATCTGCAACAACATAGATGGACCCAGGGAGCATTATGCTAAGTGAAGTCAGTCAGGCAGAGAAAGACAAACGCCACATAATTTCACTTACATGGGGACTCTAAGAAAATGAACGAACAAATAGAACAAAATATAAACCGATCCAGAGACACAGAGCTGACAGCTGCCAAATGAGAGGGCGATGGAGGGGGTTTTAGCTTTGGTGACATTAATCATGAAAAACAAACCAAAACAACCCCTACGAGTACAAATGGGAACGTGCGTGCAGATATGCCTAGGTTGAAAAGACAATGCGAGAGAATACTATGAACGATTTTATTATTGATAAGGCCTAAGAATTACTGCTTTCTTCCCTGTAATCTTGTTCAGGGAACCGCCTTTAAAAAACGTCAGGTTTGTTCACACGGACAGGTTCCTCAGGCGGGAAACGGAATTACATGGCCCTTAGAAGGGATCTACCCGGCTTTCACCCTCAGAGACCCGTTAGGTTCCAGGAAAAAAGCGTTCGCGTGTTTAGGTAAAAGCTTGTTTTCCCAGCACAGCATCATCCCTTTCCGGGCTCCTCGCTCCGCCTCCGACCTCTCCGACCCCATCTTTTCTTGGCCTCAGGCTGGAAGGGCGCAGCCTCGCACCCTGGACTCAGGCCGCAGCTGCCCCTCCTGCTCCCCCTCCGCCCGGTTCAGCCGTCACCTTTGGCTGAGGGACCCCGGGGCTCCTGCCCATCCACCTGCATTTCCAGCCGCAGACAAAGCCTGGATCCACCTCAAGGCTGTTGCTCTGCTGGGGACCAGCGTCACCCCAAGCCCCTCAGGCTCTTTGTTCTCCCTGTGCCCCGTCTGCCTGTGTATCTGAGTCTCGGCTGACGGCGGCCACTCTCACTTGGACAATGGCATTTGCCTC